GGGTGAGAGGGAGGTGTAAAAGAGGAGGGAGGAGAAGACAAAAAGAGAATCAATCAGCGCACTTACATGCACTTAAGTAACTGTGTTACTGTCAGCTTTCTGCAGTAATCAGATTACTTTAATGTCTTGTAAACAAGAAACCTGGTTTCCATAATTGGAGTTGACAATTAGATAAACCTGATTACGTCGCTGTATTACACCTGGAGAAAAGACTTCAGAGAGGGAAAGTATGAGTGTGACAGCAGAAAGTAAAGATGGTGACAATTCAAAAATGACTAAAATTTAAACAAACACACAGTTGCCTCCATAAATACAAATACATCAGGATTAACAGCTGACTATTTGTAAAATTCCCACTGTAAAGACAAACTGTGCTCTCAGTCACTGCAGGCTGTCCTCTCACTGTGCAGACATTCAAACACACACACACACACACACACACACACACACACATAAAGAGAAAAGAGTGAATTAAACATTATAAAACAACATCTTGTATCTCCAAATCTCTGAAAATAAGTCGGCCCTGGTTCCAAAATAAGTTCAGGGACAGGAGAGAAATACAAACTGCAAATAAAAATACAGCCGCAGCAAAAAAAGAAAAAAGCACTCATCCATTAACGTCAATACAAATCATGTCAAATCAAAGATGGCGCCAGAGTTTTCTCCCAGTTTTTAACTCGAGTGCTTTCAAGCAGCAGAGCGCCCAGTGCACAAGATATATTACAGCTAGGGCTGAAAGATATGGGAAAATAATCTCATTTTGATTGCAGACCAATATTGTGATTAAGATTTTGTATGTGAGTTCCTTATATTCCTCTACAGCTTCTTTTTTATCTGTATTATTCAAATACAAAGGCAGTAATTAATTCTGTAGCATGACCAACACAACGCTGGACACACTCAGCATATAAAGTGCTCTTTCATGCAGTCATGCGATATAATAATCATTAACAACAAATCACTGCAGACCAACAGGCCTGCTGTGAACATTACTGTACTATAAGAGAAATAAATATGAATCTTCAACCTGGTTTCACTCCGCAGTCACTTAGAGCTTGTGCAGTGACAATGCAGTGAAAATTTAAGGTGGCAGAAGTGCGAGTAGGGCAGGCGGGAGGGGTGGTGGATGGGTCCAACAAACACCAACTTTCACTTGGGAGAGCAGTGTTCACGTCCTGCAAGATTCTAAAGCCAAACCCTGTTCTTTTTTCCTAAACCCAACCATGTGCGTTAGTTGTTGGAGGAAAAAAAATTAGAGTTGTACCGATACCGATACCAGTATCGGAAATGCCTCCGATACTGCCTAAAATGCGATATCGGGTATCGGCGAGTACAGCCTAAGACCTATCCGATACCACGTAATGCCTCACGTCATTACGCATACGTACGCTACAGGCAAATGAAATTGAAACGGAGTGGAGTTTATAAAGCATTCTACTGTAGCATTTAAAATGTCTTTTTTACCAAATTGTGTAGCTGCACTTTAACCTGTGTCTTGAGCTGTATCAACACTGGATAATAAAATTAAAAAAAGTTTTATGGCATTCATTCTATTATTATGTATTCATTTCTCAATATTTTACAGTAGTTTTAGGAGTTGAGACATACAACAATTCATATTCCATCCATTTTTATTTTACGCGCTGGTATCGGAACGGTACTCGGTATCGGCAGATACCTAAGGTTCAGGGATCGGAATCGGTATCGGGAAAGAAAAAGTGGTATCGGTACATCTCTAAAAAAAATGTTAATTCATGGTGTTGTACCGACATAGTGCATTTATTCTGAAAGAGACTGTATGTAGATGGTACATTTTGAAAGAAGACAATGCATGTTAACAGGCAGAACTTGACACAGCATCCAAGAATGTCAATAACCAACGCACCCAGGGTACCTTGCACGTTGTATCTGGACGTGGAAAGTCCATGACCAAACGTCAATACGTGACGAGGTCGTAGTGAGAATGTGTTGGAATCTTACTGATCTCCAGTAACTTACAGTATTGTTACAAATCATACAAACTGAAGTGCACACTGATCATCATGGCTCCACCAATCTAGAAATATTTAGATGACTCAAAGCCTTGTAACTTTACCCAGCAATTTGGAAGTACTGAAACCTACAATGTACATTTACTACTTCACTGCTGATTTCTTCTGTGCTCTGATTGCCAATGCCTGTTTGCTCTCAGTGTATCCAAGTCTCTCTGTCCTTCTCACTCAGACACATATTTTCTATGTTCGCATTACACCACTCTTATGCCAGTGAAAGATGTAAACATGTGGATTGCACTTAAAACCGACTATAGCCATTTTTACACAGAAGTACAAAGCTTGTGCATAGCATTTTACAAGTTGTGTTTTTTCATGTACTCTCACTCGGATGTCACCGTGGGGCCTGGGGTCTCATTTATAAAACAATGCGTATGAGCCATACAAAAAATGTATGAACGGACAAAAGCCAACAGTTTCTGCAGTGAGGCTTCCACCTCACCATCTGTGTCGCCAGTTTCCCGACTCCAAAATGTCAGTAAGAATGGGTCAAAGTTTTCCCATGACTTCTGGGAAAACTTTCAGGCCTTGTTTTGTGTGTTTATAAATTAGACCCCTGTTTTTTTTTACCTGGTTGGTTAGATTGTGTAGCATAAAAAAATGCAGCTTTTGAGATTTATTAGATTGTGATATTGATTTGAATTCAATAAATTGTTCAGCCTAAACACAGCTTGTGATTAAAAGTATTGGGCCACCAGATATCCTGAACCACATTTCATTCAAAGAGGTTTGTAATTACGTTAATGGAACATACCTCTGTCTGTCTGAATATAAAATGTTTTTGCTCCTTTACATCGGCTTGATGTTTTTTCTCCACCCTAATCTTGCATTGATAAAGTTTTTTTCCATTTGCATACATAATAAGATTAGAATTCATCTGTTATCATGTCTCAAGCAACCTCGCCAAAATTAGCATGTATATGCAGGTTTTTAAATGCGGGAAAACTTGCTAAAAATTGGCAACCCTTGACCCTTAACCCTTTCCTATTGCCAGTAGACCACAGCCGCAAACACAGGGGTCCATGTCATTGGTCCGACAGCCCATTGGTCCGACATCCCATTAGTCCGACAGTCCGCGGTGCTGAACGGCTCCCGGCGGGCGTATTTCTACCTTGATGGTGCACCGCGACCGGCTCTGGGTCAGCTGGGAAAGGCTTGAGGCGAAGCAGGCTCACAGCTTATGTGTTTGCCACTTTCTTTTTCATTTTAACCCACACCATGATCTTTTCCTGACCTTAACCAAGTGGTTTTTGTGCCTAAACCTAACCAGACCTTAACCACAGGGCATCATGATGATTTCGGAATGAACTTCGGAACAATGGGTTTAATATGGTCGGAACAATGGGCTGTTGGACCAATGGGCAGTTCCCAAACTCAGCTCTGCCGTACATAAGCATGCCTTTCTGTGTTTCTTTTTTTTCCCTTGATGTGCCACGTTATGTTCTGGAAAACAGGGTTAGTAAACAGTGGAAAGCAGCATGTAGGCTTATGAACATGTTACAGTGGTTTCTTGTTTTTATCTCAGTAAATGCAAGCCTGAAGGGGATCATGTGTTTGGTTGTGTGTGTGTCTGTCTGCCCACAGTTAATCTAGCAAACTACCAGACCAATCAGCCTAATACTTCTGACTTAATGCCGAAGGACAGTTGTTTAAAAAATAGTTTTATCGACTGTTTCACACCATCTTTGAATACTGACTGCTCACTCATCTTAATCAGCTGATTCAGGTTGCAAGTTTTTTGAAAATAGGCTCAACTAAAATCACCAAGCCTTATCGTCTTTTCCAGGCCACATGTTGGTGTTCAACGTAGCTCATGAACAGATATCCATAGAAAGGTTTGCTCTTATTTTAAACAGGAGCATCTGCAGATTGATTTCACACTTGATATGTTTTTAACAAATGTTCCAGTGTTGCCTCAGTGGTATTGTGTGTCGTGCGTCATTGCAGGGTGTCGTATTTCCATCACTGACGATTGGAGCCAATCAGAGCTGGAGCTGATAAACATGCATTACCACTTCAGAGCCATTTGACCTGCGAGTGAATGCCAGTTGTAACCTTTCCCATTAAATACAAAACCCAGATGTTAGTGGGGTTTTTTGTCCATTGGAAAGGGGCTTGATATTCACTCTCCTTTTAGCTCTATTTTTGGTCTCCACCAACTCATGAGGGAGATATCTTGCTCTTTGGCTGCCAACTGCTCCACTTTGTTCAGCCATTAGTTGCTAGCTGTGTATTGCAGCAGAAAATGAGGTGAGAGCAAACCTAAAGCGTAAAGTTGCGGCCGGACGGCTAAATAATGACCTGAAAGATGCTAAAATGCTCCGTGGAGCTGAGAGGAATGGCACAGTCGGGTGGATTCTCTTCCCATTCCAACATAACCTGATTTCTCCCAGCAACCTGTAGTTTTCTTTTTTCTGTATGCATGTAAACGTGCTGAGTGAAAAAGGAGAAAACGATAAGAGACAAAAAGAGTAAGTGAGGTAAGGCAGCGAGAGAGAGACAGAAGAACACACTGCAAAGATATTTACTGAGTTGGAAACACACACACATAGAGAGAGAGAGAGAGAGAAGGAGATAAGGAAGAGAAAGAACCAGGGGAGACGAAGGGAACAGTCAGAAAAAAGAAAAAGGAGCGAGCCGGAGATGGAAGCAGGGAAAGGGGAATAAGATCAAATAAAGGAGAGACAGCGGGGGGAAAGCAAGGAGTGTGAGTGTGAGAGGGAGGCTTGGTTGACACATAAAACAAAGATGAGACACCTAGAGAGAAAGACAGCGAGAGGCATATGTGGAGGAGAGGCTGTTGCTGGAAAATGTAGATAGACACCTCGGAGAGAGAAAAGAAAGAAGCGAAGGGATCCAGTGTGCGGAGGGGCCAGAGAGGAGGAGGAGGAGGAGGAGGAGGAAGGCAGAGGAGGAGGGGGAGCTAAAGAGGAGGGGAGGGGACGAGACAGGCAGGAGAGGACCAGTACGAGGAGAGAGAGGGAGAGAGAGGCAGATACGGAGGTCCACAGACAGCAGCGGCGTGTAGAGTGCAGCATGCAGACTGGCCATTGACGCTGCAGTTGGATTGAACACACACATGCACAGACACACACACCCCTGAGGAGTGTATGAGACATGCCCAGGCTGCTGTCCATGGACACACACACACTGGCAGGGCACCAGAGAGGAAATACAGCAGACCCCAGAGCCTGAGGAGCTATGGAGAGCAGCATGTTTTTTGGTGAGTTTGTATTTACATGCAGAATTTCATCCTCGTGTGTGTGTGTGTGCAGATTTCCTCATCTAAATGTGTGTGTTCTCACTTCTGTGTTCTGGATACCAAAAGCATGGGCAGGAGAAGCACTGGTTTCCATTAAAGGAAAAAGAGTGTGAAGTTACACACCTAGGAAAGCAGGGTTTTTTTCTTAAATGTGTGTATGTGCGTGTTCACTGCATGTGCTTTATCACAGTCAAATGCAGAGTCTAAGTGCACACTCCTCCCTTCTCCTAAATGTAAATGGGTTCCAGCCTGCCTGTTACTTGTTCTGGAAACTAAAAAAGATGGATAGGAGAGCTGGTTGCCGTTACAGCAGAAGATATAAAAAGGAAAAGAAGAGAAAGAGAGCGTGAAGTTGCACACTGAGGGCTCCTAAAACTGTTGAATGAACCTGCTCACCAGGTAACCCCCTCTCTTCCCTCATGTTCTGCTTTATTGGAGTAAATCCCAGGTGGTTGGGCTGCTGAGAATACAAGCTTTGGATTTGATTGTGGCTGTCTGACCAGCTGACCGTCCGCAGGAATACGAACAAGATCGGAGATGCCAGCGTCGAGCCACTTGATATGCCGTGTAGGATATTTAGAGAAATCGAAGGAAGGCCCCCCTTCCATTAGTTTTTATGGAGGAGACTGGAGGAGGCTTAGAGAGACTTAATGCGCGAGTGGCTCCTCGTCAAGTGCTCTTCTCACGGCTGGCTTACAGTCACATAGGAGGAATAATTACACAGGGATCCGGAGTTCTGAGGGGGTGATTTGTTAAATGAAAGACTCTTTTTTTTATCCCGGGGATTAAAGCGATCTGAAGTTACAGACCGTGGCTTGTAAGAGAGAGAAGGATTTTCTCTTGTTATGCCATACACAGAGGAGGAGGAGGAGGAGGAGGAGGGGGGGAGTGCTGGGAGCTTATAAATGAATAAGCTGTCAGGTGCAGAGACAGCTTCAGCTCTTTGAGATCCTGATGTCGGTCAGGTGTGCAGCTGCTGGAGAGCAAAGAGGTGATGCAGGGCCAGTTGGATGGATGGGTTTGGAGATTTGGCCCCTTTTAAACCAAAGTCACAAGAACCTCAACCGAAGAGCGGCTCGGGCAGGTTGCTGTGGTTGTTTTGACTGCGTTTTTTTGTCAGACAAAGTACCACGAACCGTCTTATCTCCAGCGCTCGGTGTAAGACAAAACAAGCGGAGTAAAGGTCACTGTTTACGCACAGGAAGTCCGTCGTTTTAACATTTATGAATCCTGAGTGCACACAGAGAGAAGAGATGCTATCTCTTCAAAGATTAATAACGCTGTTTGTTCAGCAGCTCCGCATTGCTGCTGTTTAACCGAACATGTTTTCTGTTAAAGTGATCAATATCGTGACACTCTTGACCTCGCAAGACACCAAAATTTAAAAGAATACACATAAAAACATCCCTCTTGCATTGAAAGCTGTCCGCATGCATCAAAAGCAGGTAGTAAAAGAACCCAGCAGGCTAATAGGTCTTGAGTGTGTGCTGCAATCATACAAGCTATTAGTGTTGTTGACTCGAAAGGGCCGGAGGAGATCTCGCCGGTGCGTCTGGCTTTGCGGTCAGCGTTTAGCAGCACGTAAACGTCTTTTTGGTTAACCTCAGATTACAGAGCACATTGGGAAGTGATTGTTGGATCCCAGTCAGAGACAGCTGTGTTTATTAGCGGGCTACACTCATGACAGCAGCAAGAGCTACAGTGTGCTAATCTGAAGGGGATGGAGGCAGCGTGTGTTGTGTAGCTTGGAGCCAAATGCACGCAGTGTGCCACACGCTGGTGAGATTTATGGGATGTCATAAGGATACAGAGCTTATCCTGTAAAGGTTAATTGGAAAATCAGTGACAGTGTAGCTTTAAAAAACAGAACGCTTTAAACCTACCCTTTGTGCTCACTTTGTTCAGTTTAATAGGGGTGAAATGATTTTATCCTCCGTGCTTGAAGGGAAGTACTGATCTCAGAGCATGTTAAGGGCCACAGAACACAATCAGCACACTCCATGAAAACACAAAGGTGTTAATCACATCTGGAACGTCATCAGCATACGAATGAGCTCCGGTAGAATTCAGACTTATCTAATAATTGGATTCATGTTTGCTGAGGGAAAGAGAAGGGTGAGCTTTTTATTTTGAAGCTCTCTCCGGCGGCGTGGACTCTCAGCATCTCTGGACAGATCTTATCGGGAGGAGCAGCCAGGTTCAGGGCACTAACAGGAGGCGGACAGTGGAGGAGAGCGGCACAAGATGATTAATTATTAATGCCAGTCGGCGTCCTCCAGACATCATTTTTACTCTCTCCCTCTCTCGACATACTGCCGTAGGAGTAAAAACGCTTCAGCCCAGATAAGTGAATCTTTCAGGAAGGGCAATGCAGAGGACAGCCGGAGTCTGAAACACGCCATGATACAGTAGCCAAACACATCCCGTCCAATGAGCTGCTCTCAACGTCTCGTACTGTATGTGCTGCATCATTAAACGCAGCCTCAAAGAGAATGGATAAACAAAGGCCAGTGGGTAGATAACTTTCATCAATTCTGATTTGTTTCAAATATTTCCAGAAGTCAGATCTCATCTCAGCTCTGCATTGTTACACTTCTGGGCAAAGCAGGCAAAAAAACAAAAGCATTTCCCAAAGCTGACGGTTCAGTGTGTGACAACCAGTCTGTGGTAATTCAGTTAAATTTTGTTTAAGAATATGCACCCCTGAAGCATAATATCAGCTGACACGATGAGGGCTTCAATACTGCATTCATTTTTTTTTTGGCCACTTGAAAGAAACTGAAAAACATGTTAAATATATAAATTTGATATGGATGACATGTTCGCAAGCTGTTTACACATTCAGCAGACATGGAGTGACATTAATATTCATTTGGAGTCATGTTGTCGTGACAAATGTAAGTGCATTTCACTGTCCACTAAAGATCTGGCTCTTAAGATGCTAAATGTTCACAAGCTAGTCGCTAACTTTGACATTTGGTGCTGGGCAGGTGGCACAGAGCGGGCTTTATACCTTTTTTTTTTGGTGCTGAAACCAGCCGCTTGTTGCATCTGGAAATGAGGCAGATAAAAGCTGTGAGAGCTGGGCAAAATTAAGACTTGCATTATTTCAGTAGTGTGCTTATATGTTGTGTATTCTGAAATGAGTCCACATGCAGTTTAATTATCATGCAGTAAAGCGAATGTTCCAGCATAGGAACACTGTACAAGACGCATGCAGGAGTGGAGAAGGTGTGGTTAAGAGGCACCCAGCAGCTTGCAGGTAAATGAGGCCATGCTCACATCCCATTTTATGATTCATATTTTATTTGAATATCTGGTGTTTGTTGGTTTCAGGTTAGTTGTTTGAGAGCTGGAGGCAGAACGTCACCACAGCGCTCCCTGTGTGGCCCAAAATACAACATCTGTGGCCACATTTTACATAGACAAATATTTTACCTCACGTTTAATCATCACATAGTTGCTGTCAGAGGCTGCATGAGAAGCTCATTGTGTCTTCACTCAGCTGCAAGACTTCATTCACTGTGTAAACACGTCAGTGCGAGGGGAGGCTGTACAGAGGGGTGTCACTGGTATAAAAAATGAATAGAAAATGGTGAAATGGCGGGAAGCAACAGCTGCCAAACATAAAATGTGGAGTCAAAGTAAATATCCTAATTTAGATAATGAACAAAAACAATAAATGAACAGACATTTTCATTGAGGGTTGTGCAGAAATGTTTGCAGACGTTTCCTAAAATATTACAGACACCTTTGAGAAAGTGAAGACACTAAGAGTTCAAGTTCAATTCAACAAGTTTTTTTCTGAAATATTAGCATGAAACACCTTCAATAAAGTGAGAAACAGTCAAATGACAGGCAGGAAAGGCTGTTCACAAAACCACGGAATGAAAGAAAAACATCCAAATGAAAGGTTTTGCAGAGAAACACTGTTATTTTACAGATTTACAGTTTCTGAAATATTACAAACACCTTTAATTAAATGAAAACAGTCAAATAACTGGCAGCCAAACAAAAACGCTAAAGTTAAAGTAAAATATTTTAACACAAACAAAGTGCCTAACAATACATTTTGCGGAATTTTTTTTTTTTTTTTTTTTTAAATTTCCCAAACGCGCTACTTCAACCTTAATTTTACATATTTTTCCTGAATTATTATACGATCAGACACGTTCAATGAAAATGTTTGCTAAACAAAAAAACATAAAATTAAAGTAAAAAATCCCAACTCGAATAAATAAATTTACAGAAATTTTTATTTAAAATTCTGCAGAAACACACCGTTATTTTATAGATTTTTCCTAAATCAAGCGTCTAAAGCCTTTTCTAAAGTGATGACACAAAAAGTTCAACAGAAAAACATTGATTTTACATTTTTTTCCTGAATTATTATACGATGAGACACGTTCAATACAGTGATAAATGCTTAAACGACTGGCAGCAATGACAGCCAAACAAAAAACATAAAATTAAAGTAAAATATCCAAACTCAAATAAAGTGCAAAAACAATAAATTTACAGAAATTTTCATTTAAAAACACTGTTGTTTTATAGATTTTTCCTAAATCAAGCGTCTGAAGGCCAAAACACACCGGCGCCATACAGCGCGTCAAAACAGCTGCCCCCATTATTTTCTATTTACAAACCCACACCGGCGGCGGCTCGACGCGCGTCGACATGCCGCACTGTGGCACTTTACGCTATTGTCCTATTTTTCCAGCGTCGCCGCCCTTGAAAAAGCGCTATTTTGTACTTCCCAGCCTAGCGGACTGGAGTGTGCAATAGAAATCCGGTTGACGCCCCACAGCGTGACGCTTTTTGTGTGTGTTGGGGGCGGCACTTGACTCGCGTCAATGACGCCGCCGTCATATGACACCGCTGGTGTGTTTTGGCCTTAAAGCTTTTTCTAAAGTGATGGCACAAAAAGTTCAACAGAAAAACACAAATTTTACATATTTTTC